CGGCTTCCCCGATTCAGCCGCTGGTCATTTTTAGCAGCGGCTGAATCGTGGAAGCTGGGGGCAGAGCAGATCCAATGGTCCAGCTGCCCAGATCACTTCCGGGTTCCTGATGGTGCCGGATCATCAGGAGTGCTGGACCATCAGATGCTGGACCATCAGAGTTTTACTGTATAATGAATGACAAAAAGGTGCAAAAACCTGAAGTAGTGAGGAGATTACAGTCTCACTAAACACTTCTGGATTAAGTCCACTCATCCAACACACTCTAGCATTTAAGCAGCGAGATTTTTCCGAACACACTGAAAATCCCACCGGCTTCAGTCTGGAGCTGAGACACCACCAAGCTCACCTTTGAGAAGCATCAATGCTTTCATAGCAAGATTGTCACTACTATTTCTAAGGATGACATTTTAAATGCTAGTTTACAACCTATTCCACTACACAAGAGTTAATCCAGAAATTGAGAAATATAATTTTAGACAACTATTCATGAGCACAACTATTATTGAATTGCAAATAGGTATATTGTTATAACAATATCTGAAAATACACCATTTAGGCTGTCAGAAGCTATTATTGTGCATGTTGACAGAATTGTATTCTAAAATATATTCACATATGCAAATTCAAATTTTGCATGGCAGTAAAACTGGCAATTTGTAATTTTTACCCTACAGAACCATTCAGTAAATTCCACTTAACTACATCAAATGCCATTTTAAAATTGTGAAGATGTAACTGCTTAATTTAGTTTTCATATCAAGATACTCAAAGTCACTTTACAATTTTGCTATGTACTCTTTATATACTCTCTATATTGTAAAGCTGTTAGAGACTTGACTTTGTTTAGCTAAATTATACTATTTACAGATTTCCAGGAAGCAATACATTTAGAAATATTATCTAGGTTTCCTATTAAAAATTAAGTAAAGCTATGCTGAGTCTTATTAAAACCATTAATAATTAGATCAGCAGACAGATTAAATTAATTTACTCAAGAAAAATATTCATAACATTTTAATCTCAGATTTATTGAGAGAAAAATACTATAATGCCAAATGAGCCCTAGTCCTACTTAAATATCCCCTCTACAGCGGTCAATTTATTCCACATTTTAACTGACACACAATAAAATTTACCAGGGTTTGACCTATCAGTTTATAGCAACAAGTCTTAAGGATGAGTGAGGTTTTCAAAAGTTCCATAGATACTTCTGAAAACTTTCACTTTTTTATTCATGAAGCAGAAAATTTTCTTACCATATCACCTGGAATAAAACAACTTTAATAAAATTATCTAGATTTGATAATATAGCTCAGGAACCAGTAAAAAGTTGCAAAACAAAACAGGCATTTTAATGATCTTCTATAATGAACTCGAATAGCGAATATTGACTAAGTGACCCTACATTTCCCATTTGTCTTCCTTTCCTTTTCACTTTTTAACCGTTTCTCCTCTGCTTTCCACTTAGTTCTAGACTTGTTTATGACACCATAAAAGAGTAAAATGCTGAAGACTGAGACCAACCTCTGCTTCAATCTATTTTCACCAATTTGCAACTAAAAATTATCCTAGCAGCAGAATATGGACCATCTATAAAAGGGAACTCAGAGTTGCTCACTTTATTCTCTGCAACTGACTAAACATGAAAGAATGACCCAGTTTCAAGAAAATAATCATACTTACAGGATCAGTTAGCATAGTTCTCAGATGAGATGACAGAGCTAGCACTGCCAAACAGTTAAAAAGAACACCATTGATCACAGAGTACCAAAAGTCTTTGGAAGGCAGCAACATGACAAAAGTCACTACGAAGTCTGCATAGACAACTAGAAGCCACGTCATAACAGCACAGACCATGCCGCAGCCATCACGGATGAACCAAACTCGGTCTGCCATATCGGCTTCTGATGAAGAAGAATCATAGCTGTCATTTTCAGCAAGGAGAGGATGGTGCTCAACGTCACGGAATCTGTGCCCCGATGACTGCATGGTTTTCTGGACTTGCCCTGAAGAAAGATGGAGAAACTATGTTTATGTACAAACAAACCATGAAAAATAGCTGTCAACTTTTATTGTTATGATATGAAAAGAGAATCAAAGGCTTACGTGGGGTTTTCATTACAAATAATGAACTTTCTATGACTGTTTCAAGCTGGAATGTTTCTGTAAGTAATTGAGGACAACGATTTACAAGTGCTTATCTGCAATTCTGAAAACTGTTTTTTGAAAACTTACTATTTCTAAAAATATTTACACTGACTGTAAGACTTCTGTACTGTAATTTTGCAAGTCCCATTACTCCTCATTCACAGTCAATACTGCAGACAGAATATACACACTTCTGGTCTATTCAATCAGCTATTTATGTAATTTACAAAAGAATAAGGGGATTTGTATAATCAGCATGAGTCACACACTACTCGAGAAAAAAAATTCAGGCAGAAGCCTCCGAATTCACATGAATATAAAAAAAAGCTTTAATATTCCTTTAAATTGCAAGTAAAACTGACCGCAGTTGAGATTTTGAATGCTACAAGGACAGTAAGAGGACGAGCTGATTTTAGTATGCTGGTCCAAGATTAAAAACGATATCTATTTTAAAACAATACACAGTGCATGGAAAATTAGGGGAAATACTGAGAATGAATATTTATGTCCAAATGTGTGTCACTTTCTGGTGGCAAAATCTGTCTGTAAACCAGTTGTGTGTGTAAAATTGAGAGGCTGGTTTTCTGTGAGGTATTTTTCCTTCATTTAAAAATACAGGTGTAACCTCTCTACTCTGACCTCCTTGGGACCTGACAGGTGCTGAACCAGAGAATTTGCAGGACCATGGGAGGTCAATGTTGTCTAGCAGCATTACCAAATATCTTAGAAGACATTTAGGGGTAGATTAGAGCTAAGTAACAGCCAAAAACACTGAGATCAAGGACTGGTGTCTGTAAACAAACTTTATGGGACCATGAGAAACTTGGCTACACCCACGATAAGTAAGATATCAGGCTAGCTAAAATCATGCCAGACCACGGATCCTGCTGGACTAGAGTGTGCCAGACTAGAGAGGTTACATCTGTAGCTGAGTCAGCATTTCTGATGTCTGTAGTTTAAGGGATCAGCCACAAGGCAACACAAAGGTTTGTGTGACATGGAGCTAAATTCAGGTCTGAAAAGAGGGACAACTGAGAAGCATGTGGCAGCCATAGAGGAGGTAGCATGGTGGGGAAAGCGGGGGCCCATAGCCCCGCCTCCTGCTTTGTCCTGCTTCCAGGCCCAAGGTGTTATTTGCGGTCACCTGGTCCTCAGGACATGAGAGACTGACATACTTCCAATTTTTTTTAATTGTATCCTTTGGTATATATGGTTGTGACTATTTTCTTCCACTATTTGATCTGAGGAAGTGGGTCTGGCCCACGAAAGCTCATCATCTAATAAACCATCTTGTTAGTCTTTAAAGTGCTACATTGTCCTGCATTTTGCTTCAGCTATCCCAGACTAACACGGCTACATTTCTATCACTATACTTCCACAGTGAGTCATGTCCAGCCTCCCCCCCACCCCATGCAGATAGAGCTGCAGTGGCCACGCATACACAGAGTCACTGCAGAGCAGCACAGGACAGTAGGAATCACATCAAGCAACAACAAAGGAACCAGTGAATACAAAATCAGAGTGAACACAGTGGACTGCAAAAATGGACAAAATCCCCACTCCGTCACAGAGGAGAAATCTTTAATCCACAATTTTCATAAGGGTTTTAAACATGAAGAGAATGCTGCCTCCCATCCTGTGCCAATAGTGAGAAACAGGTTGGGGAGAGATGCACTTACCACAATATAGAAAACTTACAAATGTAAATGAAGTATGAACTCGTTCATGTACATATACAATGTACCTAGTGGCACATTACTAAGCTGTAAAACCCCTAAAACTTGAAAGGAACATCAGCCCTCATGCTTCAGGGTATAAACCTGATTTACTGAAGTGATTAGCAAGAAATTTCCTCCATAAGCAGATAATTCCAAAATCTCCTATTTCAGGGTTTCCTCATATCTTCCTGACCACTGCTGATTAAATAGTATAGTTGATTAAATAGACCATTGTTCTGATCCAGATGGTAATTCATATGATATCCTTTTTACTCTGATGCTGTACGAGTCTCTGGTCAATTTCACATTCCTTTCCCAATTGTTAACTTACAGGAACATAAGTGAGGTCTCATGGTTTGAGCCTGGGTATACATATTCTCCTGCTTTGGAGTACAGAAAAGACAACATTCTCCTACAATCTTGTGTTGTACTTAAAATGATTTGCAGTTTTAAGTAACTATTTGTTTTTAGTCATAACCAAGTGACTGCAGACTAGCAGAAAAGGCCAGTCTCCTAAGCAGAGGATAAGACCTTAGAACCCAATAAACAGGACTGTGTAGCACTTTAAAGGACTAACAAGATGGTTTAATAGGTGATGAGCTTCCGTGGGCCAGACCCACTTCCTCAGATCAAATAGTGGAAGAAAATTGTCACAACCATATATACCAAAGGATACAATTAAAAAAAATTGGAAGTATGTCAGTCTCTCATGTCCTGAGGACCAGGTGACCGCAAATAACACCTTGGGCCTGGAAGCAGGACAAAGCAGGAGGCGGGGCTATGGGCCCCCGCTTTCCCCACGGTGGATTGTACTGACTGCTCCTGGTTCCTGTAACAAGAAATCTGGGCTATGCTGTGTCCCTGTGAACCAATAAAACTGTTCTGCCTGCTGGCTGAGGGCCGAAAGTGTACATTGGATAAGCGTCTCAGACACTTCGCCAAAGGATCAATGCCCACGAAACAGATATCAGACAGGATCACAAAGAAAAAACAGTTTCTTGCCATTTCAACCAGAAAGGACATTGTCTCAACGACTTGATTACCTGCATCCTGCTTCAAAGACCTTTTAAGACTTCACTTGAAAGAGAATCCTCTGAACTGTCATTCATGCTTATATTCGACACTTTACACTCAAATTTGAATAAGGATGCTAATTATCTTACCCACTACAACGATAGCTTCCCCAATTATTACCTCTAATATCATTAGCTCACAGACATTTACCTCCTCCCATCTCCCCCTCTGTTCTGAAATTTGATTTGTCCTTTTTCTATGTGTTCATTTTTTTTAATTGTATCCTTTGGTATATATGGTTGTGACAATTTTCTTCCACTATTTGATCTGAGGAAGTGGGTCTGGCCCACGAAAGCTCATCACCTATTAAACCATCTTGTTAGTCTTTAAAGTGCTACACAGTCCTGTTTTTTGTTTCGGCTACACTAGACTAACACGGCTACATTTCTATCACTTTAGAACCCAATAGGTTTTCATTGCTTATTCATGGAATAAAATAAAATAAGGCACATAGTTAAAACTGTGGCAGTACAACAAATTCTATTCATTTATCTCCTGTGCATAGATCATCATGATCTTTTATGACATATTGGCATTAGGAATGAATAGTCGTTTACCATAAGCAGTCAAACAGGTGTATTTATTGCTACCTTCTTGATGCCTTGAAATATACCAAGTTTCTGAAACAGGAGAGGAGACTGCAATATTGAAGTTACATGTATGCTTAATGTTATTCCAAGGGAAATAAAATAAATTTAAATGACCTGTAAGACCTCCAAGTTATTTTCTGCAATTTTCTAGTTCAGGAAAGCTATTTCAAGTCCTCTAGCTTGTGCTTTGGAGAGGCTCTTAGTCTAAAGAAATTAATGATTAAGTCTGTACTGATAAATTATTTACAGAGGGAGCATGGACTGCTCCAGAATGTGACGGGCTACAGTGTTTTCATCTGACGACAGTATTTTAGCCATTACTGTTGACATAGGAGCAGGGACAGATTCCATGTTGAAGCTTGTCTAAATGCACGTGACACCAGTATAAATAAAGATGTAATGTTGCACTGATTTAGTTAAACCTATAGGACTCTGGTGTAAAAAAATCTTAGCAGCTATCTTAGTAAAGAAGGAAAGAAACAGGGAAGGGGATGATTTAGTCTCACAGTATAAAAAGTGTTTCCAAGAAAAAATTGCTGTAAGGACACGCAGTAGTAATTCAGATCAGTTCAGGTGGTAAGTTAGCAAGCAGGCCAGGCCAGTGGCTATTCAAGTCAAAAAAACAGATATAAAAAGGCAAATAAAAACCCCTGTAGGAAATTACGCTCAGCAATTTAAGTAGCAATTTAATCTTGCAGACACACATTCTGCCTGCTGTTCACATTTCCTATTTTTGTCTTTCAAAACACTGTTTTGTAAACTAGAATATTTTCACACCATACAGCAAGGATGGATAGCAAACCAACTTTAATTTTCCTCAGTTGCTGGTTGCATCATAATCTTAACGGTAAACATGAGGATTTTATATGGGCTGTATTTTTGACTTGTTGATTTTCCAAACAAGATTTTTCTCCTTCCATTAAAATGTTGCTTCCTGTTTTCAGTCCTGATCTATATGGACTACGGCTGTTGTCTCTGATGAACTATCAGGCTACAACAACCTGCTTAGTCATATTGCTGATGAAATGTGACAGGATGGTTTCTCAAGTCCATTGTGAACTTTCTGGAGAGAAATACCAACAACCTGACCTTTTCAACCTGAAAAGGGATGCTTTGATACAGCTCTGTTTTGTGAAAACCTTTGGAAATGTTTGTTTTCATTCCAATTTAGAATGAAAACAAAAATTCAAAAACTTAAAAGTTCTTAAACAATTTTTTTTCCTCTGTCACCTGTAACTAGCTGGGTGGAATGGTAAAATCAAAGTATTATCAACACACAGGAGACAGATTATAGTCTGAACACAAAGTTCCAAAAATAGCATGCAACCCTAGAAGTACACTCAGTCCTAAAATTGCTATTGATTCTGAACTAGGAAAGGCCATGCCGGAGAGAAATTTGAAAGCACTATATTGATTTGTGACAGCTGAGCAGATGTCTAGTATTTTTTCTGTGCTAATGGTAGCCTCCCTATGACCTCTGGGTTTTATTGCAACTTAGGTCATACCTCAAAATCTTGAATACATTTACTGCTTTGTTAATCCAAAATGATATTCTACATTGTCTACACTTACCAATTAATTTATGAAAGATTCACACTTGGGGTTGCTATCAGAGAAAGTTACACAACTATATGCATCTTTCACATGCTCTTCATTTTTCTAGTCTTTATCACTAACTCGGGATCGAAGGATGCCTACACATCACTAACTCTTAGCTATCCTAATTAAAGTGTTCTATCTACTTCCTCTCTGACCCTAGTGTCAGACTGCTCAATGATCTTTGACTCACTTGGTCCAAGGACAGACACTATTAACATAGTGATTATAAATTGGAATGTCTAAATTAAATTTACCCTATCAAGGTAAGTGTTCTTAGATCAGAGCAGTAGTAAATCAAGGAACTATTGGCCAAGTAAATTCTCTTTTGTAAAGTCTTCTCCTTTGAATGCAATACATTAAAAATCCTCCTAGTTACAAATGACAGTAAAGATAGCTGCATTCTAGAAAAAGTCTTGGGAAAACAAACTTCACTTCTCCCATATCATACGTTGTTAAATTAATCTGGTTAGGAATGGTTTTCCTTCTAGTATTTAATATTCAATGACAATTCCAAATGACTTCACCTTTGGCTACCAGACGAAACCATTTTTTAAACGCAGTTAATAATGCAGCTCCATACAAGTATGCCCACTAGCATCAGTTATTTGATAACTCTAAATTACTTCTCAAGAACAAGTTTTTAGCTCTCTTTGGCAGCCGTAATATTTACCTATATATTTTAGAAATGTGCACGTCTGTCTGTCTATGAGTCTGTCTGTTCAAGAACTCCTCCTAAATGGTAAGAGGTATGCGGCTTCATCTTATCCTAACTTAAAGAAAGGTCAGGGTTTGGTTGTGCCAAGAATGCGACTGTTTCCCATAACATGGTAAGAGAGTGGGGCTGAGAGAGGAGAGACACGAAAAGGAATTACACAGAGAGCAGATGCAGCACCAGGGGGAAGGCTGGGAGAAGAGAGAAGACCCCTGGCAGACAGAAGGGGCTGGGGAGAGAAAGCCTTGCCAGATAGGAATCCCTGTTTCCCTTGTCCCCCAATCCTCACTCTTGCTCCCACCCACACCCTCAGTCCTGCCTCCCTATCTCCAAGGCCCTGCTCTGAATCCTGAGCCCCCCACACCGCCAGCCCCTTACCCTGAAAAGCCAAGGCAACACTGGGCAGGTGTTCTAGTGAAGTCATAAGTAGACTATGTGACTGATAACTGGGATTTAAGTTATTTAAGAAAACAACTTCCTGGGAAAACAAGAAGATTATACAGATTGAAGCCTCTGTAAACTGAGAGGCTCTGGTCTGGCAACATCCGTGGTCCAGCAGGGCCAGAGTGGCAGGCGAAGGGGTCAGGGAATGGCATGGCAGGAAGCTGAGGGGGGAGAGCCAGCCAGGGAGGGAGCTGGTAGCGGGGCGGCAAGATATGACCGCCGCTGGTATGCCAAAATCCCTTATCTGGGACTGGTCAGTCCCGAAGGTGTCGGACCAGGGAGATCCAACCTGTACAAGGTTTATTTAAGGAAATACACCTTTCAAGCATCTTTACAAAGAAATATATTACAAAGCAAACAACATGTAATTTACAAGGAGCAAAGCTTTCTGATTTGAAGTTGAATCTAAACATGGTAGGAAGAACTAAAATCAAAGCAAACTTTGTGAGATGCCAGCAGAATGATAATATAATATATTCTGTCAGGAAGTTTACCCATCAAAAATGACTTAGAGACGCATCCTACTTTGGAACTTGTTGAACACAAATTTAAGTACCAAACTTCAAAGACTCCAAAGGACATGTAAATGGCCATGATGACTCAGCAGAAATGAGATGTAATTTAAACAGATCTTTTGGCTGGAACAAAGACTTTAGCAGCATAAAAACCAAACACATCAAAGAAAAAGAGACATACAAAAAAAGAATTCAAATGCAGGATTCGCCCAGCCCATTGCACCTCAAGAAAAATGAGAATAAAAGCTTACAAAGAATCAATTTAATTACTTCAGCTTCCATTTTCAAGTTACAGTTGTAAAACGCAAATAAAACACAGCATTAAAGACAAATGTAGCTTGAGATAAGGTTTGAGCGTAACACAAAAAACCCACATACCTCTCAAATGTGTGTGTTATTCTGACATCATGCCCTTCCTTCAGGCTTCTAAAATGCACGTGGTCATATTTGATGTAATCTGAAAAGACAGTAAGAACTGGTTAGTACTGAGCTGTTGCTTCAGGGAAATAGTTTTAAGTATGCATAATCTACCATAACCGAAGGACTTTGGAAGTACAATTAGAATAGAATGTAAACCTCTATCATTTATTAAGTAATTTTAGGACTGATTGGTCATGGAATCAATATATAGAAACCCCCACCAACCTCCATTTAATCAGTTAACTGGTTAAACAATGTTTAACCATGTTTAGCCAGTTAACTAATTACATGGGATTTTATATCCCTACTACAGATCACCACTGGCCCAGTCTGAGACACACTTTCCTTAATATAGTTCTTTTTATAGTTAATCTTTACAATAAAAAACTGAGATGCTGAGTAAAAATATCTATAGCATCCTTAACTCAGCTCTACTGGGTCCAAGTACCAATCATCATATTTATGGCTTATAGGTAAGCACATTTAACATGCCATGAAAAGAAAGGAGAATGTGTTTTGTTTGAACATGACTTACAACAACAAGGATTACTCCACAGTACCCACTATAAGATTCCTGATATAGCAGTTATATCATTTAATTTGGAGCCGTCAGATTCATAAGTCTCGGTAGAAATATGAATATTCTACGTCCCCTCCCTCAGCCTTCCCCCATGCTCAATGGTACTAAGAGCCATGTGGCCTCCCCTGGGCACAGTGGAGAAGCAAGGCTGTGGAGCAAAGGTAGGGAGCTGTCTGTCCAGAGGCACCTTGGGCTGCTTTGGAGCGGGCAGCAGTGGGGCTGGGAAGCAGAAGGCCAGGAAGCAGGGTAGCCTGACTCCGTGTGTGGCAGCTGCTTCACAGCCTCCCTCTGCCCATTTGGTCCTGGGCACCTCATGATGCAGCTGGGAGCTGCTTGAGAAGAGCAATGGGAGGCAAGGCCTCTGCTCCTCTCTCAGTGAGCCAGGGTAGAACCACAGGATCGAGCCCTGGGCAAAGACGCACCACAGCCTCGAGTAGCTCAGATCCAGAGAGGCTGGAGGGAGAAGGAAAAAGAGAGGCCGGGGGGAAGTTGAGATGCCAGGGCTGGTGCAGCCCTAGCACTCCCCTCCCCAGCGGCCAGTGGTGAGAGAAGCTGGGGCTGACGCAACCCAAGCCCTCTCCAGCGGCCAAAGGGGAGAGCTGGGCCTGCCTATCCCCAGAGACAAGGGGCACCACCCCCTAGTACTCCTAAAAATGAAAACACGAGCCAGATGGATTTCCAAGAGAAACAGGAAATGACAGGTTTCTTAACAAATGTGTGTATCTCTTTAAAAATCGGAAATGTAAGCAGATGCCTAACTATATGGGATTACTGGATTTTTTTTGTTGTGCCTATATACAGGTTGAACTCTTCATCAGGACTCTCTGCTTTGGTAAAATCCATGGTCTGGCATGGATGTTTCAGGACCAGAGAGTCTTGGCAGAGGGCCAGCAGTGAGGATCCGTGAGGGGCCGGCAGAAGAGTGGACTGTCTGCAGAAAGCTGATGGCGGAGCCACCCAGCACAGGCAGCTGGGCTGCCCAGCAGGGCTGGAAGACATGGCGTGTGGTTGCCCAAGGAGCCCCAGCACATGTGGCTGTCCAGAGTCCCAGAGCACAGTGCGCACAGTGCCCGGAGCCCCAGCACCAGGCTGCCCAGCAAAGCCATGGCAGTGATGGCTACCCAGCAGATTGGCAGGGCAGCGGGGCCAGCAGGAGGTGGGGAGCCGGCTGGGAGGCAAGCGGCCAGAAGTGCCGGTGGCAGGGGTACAAAAATGACCTCCCTTAGTTTGGCAAAATCCCTCATCCAGGACCAGTTAGGTACCAAAGGTGCCAGATCTGGGAGGTCCAACCTGTACTTATTCTTATCTTTATTATATTAATTCTCACAATTTATATTTATATTCATTAATGTGAAGGAGATAAGACAGGTAAGGTAATGTGTCTGAGGTCAGGTCTGCCCTAGACCTGAAAGGTCGGCTTAAGGTCCTCAACTCCAGCTATGTATTCTACATATGTATTCTACATAGCTGGAGTTGGTTTACCTTAAGTCGAGCTTGGCACTGTCCACACTACAGCAGCAAGTGCTCCTGTCAGCTTTCCTTACTCCTCACAACTGCCAGGGAAGGGGGGAGATGATGCTGCGGTTAACTGGGTAGCCGTTAACATCCCTACTGTAAAATATTTTGTCCTTTCTGGGGAAGGGGAGGGGGGCAGAAAGATTATCTCCCTGGCCTATCTGTTCTGCTATCCCAGAATTTGGTCCCTTGCTCTCCTGGCATACTGTCATTGGAAGAGGAATATAAGTGTTTGGAAAGCACTTAATATCTTCTAAAGTGCTAAGTGTTCTCATAGCTTTGCCCAAGACTACAGATTTAGACATTCGAAGTACACAGCTCAAGAAAGGGAATCCTCTGAACTGTCATTCAGGCTAAAATTCGACACTCTCCGCGGGGGGCTGAACAAAGACCCCAACTACCTTACCCATTACAAAGATAGCTTCCCCAATTATCACCTCTAATACCCTTAGCTCACAGACATCTCCCTTTCCCCACCTCTAATATCATTAACTCACAGACATTTACCTTCCTTCCCCCCCGCCGCATCCTCCTTCTGTTCTGAAATGTGATTTGTCCTTTTCATATATGTTCATTTTTTTTAATTGTATCCTTCGGTATATATGGCTGTGACTATTTTCTTCCACTATTTGATCTGAGGAAGTGGGTCTGGCCCACGAAAGCTCATCATCTAATAAACCATCTTGTTAGTCTTTAAAGTGCTACATAGTCCTGTATTTTGTTTCAGCTCAAGAAATTGTGTTCTCTTACACTAAAATTAAGTTTTAGTCCAATCAATGTTTTCTCCAAAATCCTCAAAAACCTTTGTTTTGTGCAAGAAAACACCACAGATACACAGTATGATCCATGCATAACCATTTGCACAAATAATGAATCAACACCTGATTCCAGTTTGGTTAGCAGTCTTGTTTCCACTGGGAATATACCCCCCCAACATAATTTGTATCCCACTGTTCAGTGAAATTCTGCAAATCCAATTGCAGACAGATCACAGGAATAATGGTGACATTAAGTCACGTGACTTCTAGGCTGCTTAAATAGGGATTACAAAATAAAAGCTACTTTAAAAAAAGATATTGCTGATTAATTTAAAATTAATAATTACAAAAAAAAGTGTTATTACACAAATGACTATTCCAATTACTTGAAAAGCTTAAGACTTTCCAACAGCATTGAGCCATGTCTCCACTTTCCTTACATATAAGCAGTTGCTGGAAAGCTCCTTTACTCCCTCACACTCTGCAATCCACAAGACTGCAGCACTATTCGAACACAACAGTAATGCTCTGGCAGGTCATTCTGTAAAGCTGTTAAGTGATTTACGTAAAGCCTACCCGAGTCTTAAAACAAAGCTACCTGCAAAGCACAGGACTGGAGTAACAGACTTCTAGTTAACGGAAAGTAACAGATTAAACTTTGACCTTTCAAAGGCAAAGTGCTGCAGTATTTCATACCTGAAGGAACGCGGCACTGCATATAATTCCAGTGGAGGTATGGACAGTAGACAGCAACTGTCTGACACTGATAAAAATTCACCTTCACAATGGCAGACATGTGATCCTGATCCTCAGACTGAGACAAAGCTCAAAGAATCATATAAAAATCTCTGTGCAGAGAGATTAAGTTACCGAGACAGAATCAGTGTCTACTTTAGTAAAAGGAAAAGTCACTTTTCATTATGCCTCTCTAAGATCCAGGAAAGGCCCTTTATTAACAAAGTCAGCTCTGGCTTGCTCTAGATACTGTTCTGCACTTGACTCACCTATTATTGAGTATTTACGCCACATACAGTGTGACCTTGAATATTGGGTAACAGAATAAGCAATAACAGAATAACTTGGTTTTCTATAACTGAATTTCAAAAAGGACTCTCCCACTCCCCATGTAACCCTTATATAAATGCTCATCTCTGAGACCAAGAGGTGAATTTTGATAAGAGACTGTACACTTTTATGGTAAAATTTAGAGAACTATTCTAAAGTCCCTTTTGCCAGTCTCTTATCACCACTTTGTATTGTTTCATTCTACAGCAGGTACATACATTTAAGTAAGGAAACATTAGAAGTTTTCCCTTTTATCTTTAAAAATAGGAATGCTTGCCCACTCCCCAACTTTCCAAAAAAGCAACAGCTATATGTCACTTTCACAACTATCTGATTTTAAAAATGGCTATATCAGCTGTACCAAGAACATTAAAAACTTCATCACATGACTGCACGTGCTTTTATGTTGGCAACCCATTAAAATTGCCACCGAAACATCTAAAACTCTGAACAATTACACAAAACGAAGCTAGAATTATCAAAACATATACAGTAAAAGCCTGGTTATCCAGCACTCACTCAACAAGAAAGCTCAATTAACCAGCATTTCTGATATCTCCCAATACAAATCTAGTAACTGGGACTAGGTTACTGCCCAACAGGTTATGCAATTGCACATTCTGAACCCTAGCTTTATGCAGAAGACAAGTAAGGAAACTGAAATCAGGGGCTTGTTCAAAAGAGCAGTTGACGCATGTCATTACAGAGTTTAGCCAATCTTCTACATCTATAATGATAATTGATGTAGATAACGATCCTGAAGTGCCTTTTGAATCAAAGATTAAATTATATTAGCATAGTTTTATCATTAATTGTATTTTTAGTGATCTGGTTGTACACTGTGTGCTGCTCACAGTGAATGTAGTCTCATAAGATAACCTACTGTACAGAAAGTTTTTACTTTACACACCTAAGTGTTTCGAGAAATCAACCACTCTGCAGCACTCTACTACTACTGATGTGGTGAATACGGGATTACTATTTTATACTTAATTGATTTTATTGTATTCGATTAACAGCACACTCCATTCCCCAAATGTTCCCAATAGCAGACCTTTTACTGTCGCAATTTTAAGGTATTTATAAATGTCACCTATCACCAACAAACGTGACAACTTTAGAATACAAAATTAGCCTTA